TTCTCTGTATTGAGACAATTTTCTCACATTTTTGGTATATCTAAAGAGTTCTTGAAACCAATCAAAAGTTCCTGAACAAGAATTTGTATTTTAGAACACAAAATCCTTTTTATTTCCTCTGTTATTTACCTTGTACCAGTTACTTTAGGTGTACTCTGTTTCAAAAATTGGTGATAAAAGGTAATAAGATTATAGAAGCATACCTATTAAGAACATAAAAAAGTACAGTGCATGCATGTGAAAATGCATTTGGTTTCATAACCTTATATAAAAAGAGAACTGCACTTTTATATTAATTTCAATAAAATGCCCCAGTGGCCTAAAGTTATTTTTGTGAAAAATTTTAGTTTATTAGTTGAGGAAATGTTCAGGCATTTATAGTACATATTGGCCCATAAAAGAAAGCCAGGAACAACTTACCAAATAAAATTCTGCAAAATAAGTAACGAGAATATTTTTTTTCTAAACATATACACACCTGCCTTTTACTATAATTGTCAAAATACAAAGCAGTGATATATTACCAATTAAAGATAGATTAAAAAGAAAAAAAATCTAAATATGCCTCATCTCATTTGTTTCCTGATTTCATATCTTTTTTTATTAAAATGCAAGGAAATGTAGTCACTTAAAAGCAATGTGATAAGAAAAAGCAGGAGAGGTACTTCAAAAAAGCATTTGTCAGGGAAAAATAAAATGTATGTTTCTAAACAGTCTCTTACATTAAAGTCACATGAGTCAGTATTCTAATAAGATTAGAATCTGTCCATATACAAGATGGCTATTTAAATAAATCTTCCTAAATCCCAGTAAATTGTTGACTTGACTTGAAGGCTATCTTAATTTTTTTGTCTTCTCATGGTGAATTACCAGTAACTGAAAAAGACGTGTTAGTACACTTTTAAAACTGAATTTTCATCAAAGATATTTTTAGTTCATCAATATTAAATGCAGATTTAAATAAATGGTTCAATTTTAGATCAATTAGCATAAATCCAGGAAAAATGAACAAAGTGGCCTTAAAAAGAAATACTTAATATTTTCCTAAACCAAGAATAGCATGCCTCATTAGGAGACCTCAAGGTAATAATTAGTATTTAATAGGGCTGATATTACACATGCATGCTGCCTTTCTGACACCCTATTTTTCCTTTTAAAAGCTATTCCCTAAGACAATAACCTTTAGATGACAGGGGTGTCCCTGACCCCTTTTAGATTTGTTGAAAACAGTTTGGTTACTGGTGTAAATGAGGACAAGCTAGTCTCAGTGCTGTCCTAGAAAGAGCACTAGACATTGCATATCACCAAAGATGTTCCATTCTTTTTCTATGATGACAGCAAAACAATTTTCAGTACTTGCTGAGAGGCTGCCGGGTTGAAACCAGTTCTTACAACTGCTGTAAGTTATGAATATTTTTCATGGGTGGCTGGTGCCGGCAGTGACCAGTGACCCGGGGGGAGGGTCCTCCTGTAGCCAATCTAGCTGACCTGGGGCGGGGGTCCTGTCTGCCCCCCTTGCCCATCGCCTAAGTGAGGAGTGTGGCCTGTCAGGGGGTGCACCAGCACTCTCAGGGGCTGCACGTGCACCCTCTATGTGTCGCCACTGATATTTTTTATAGTTGACGGGCTTACAGTTATTACTAAAGATATTTTAAAATTAGTTTAAAAAACAGCATAGAATAATCTTAGGGGGATGTCTACCAGGTAAATAACCATCGATCCTTTTTCATGTAAAGTATTTTTTACTGTTTTTCAAAGTGTTAAACGTAAGTAGTAATTTTTATTGGAAAAGTCTGTTGAAAACTTAAAATGATCTGATCCCATTTACATGGAGCCCAGTTTTTCAGAGTTACATTAGCATTTCTGATCCAAATTATTACTTTGCTTAATTAATCATTTTAACTTTAAATTCTTGCATTGCTATTAAAGTCAAATTAGAGGAAGCCCTACTCATCTTAATAGTTAAGTAAGGAGTGTTTGCTAAGTAATTCTCCTTATTTGAAACTGGTTTCTTTAGAAATTTATTAACAGTAAAATAATTTCTAGGATACTTTTCTGTGGGGTGCAGGGTAGTGCTGCCCAGAGATATCTGTGGTAGCCCAGCACTTGCTAGGACTGGAACTGGAAGTAGTTCTGCCTGTTCTCCAAAAAAAACCCCAAAAACAAAACAGTCCCAGGGGATTCTTGCTGGTATTGGTATTTGCTGTCATATTCCAGGTCAGAGTTATTTTAACCTGAACGTTTTTGGGGTGTTAGGCACCCAAGAATGCATCTCATTTGCACGCTCATGTAGTGTTTTATGGCATCTCCTTTGTAGCAGTGCTTTAGATTCATGAACTTCTGATTTTCTCTTCAATACCAGTCTCTCCTTTCTTTAAAACAATAATGTTCCACAGAGGCAGCCACTATGGTACATATTTGCTCATGTTTGTGGGCTCGGGGCTTTGTTTTCCTGTTGTTTCTGTGTAGAAGGTGACAAATAATATGAAGAAGGCAGGGTAAATTTGCACCTTTGTAGACTAAATCAGAGCCGTATAGCATAAACGTTCTAAGCAAAGGGCTTGCCTCATCAAATGTTGTCTGTGCTATGAAGGTACTATGAAGGCATAGTTGCTTTACCTAGTTGTGTATTAATGAGTCATTAGGGATCCTTTATGTATGGTTCCATGCATAAATTTATTATTTGTTTAGTCTGTCTGTTTAGTCCTATTTTGTGGTCAGTCCCTTGATAGGATGGAGTAAGAAAGTAACATGTTATCAGGAAGATGTTGATAAACTGCAGCAAATGCAGGGGTTTTTAGGAGGCTGGGTAGACAGATTTACAAGGAAAGATTAAAAGATTATAGTTTGGTTAAAATGATGATTAAAGGAAAGCCTAATGTTTACATATATATTTGTGGGATGCTAACAGAAAGGAAGCAAAGGAATTGCCTAGTCTTATACAAAAGAAGCTAGAAGCTTTGGGGTTAGTTTAAAAAACGAAAATTGAGGTCGAACATCAGACAGAACTTCCATACAATAAAGTTAAGGTGGTATGGATTAAACTAAGTTAAGGGAAATTGTAAAAACAGCATTTTTTAGGATGTTAAGGAGGTAAATACTGGACAAAAACAGAAAATATACCATCAATCCAGTAATGGCAGGAAGATGATAATAGGTGCTTTCTCCCTGTAAGTGGGTATATCTACACATTTCATTAATGTGCCTTTGCTATTGCATGTTAAGTTTAGTACCTCTAATATGAGGTCCTAGATAAAGGCGCAGTAGCTGCACTAATGTGCAGTAGCAAAGGCAAACTTTTTTTGTGATGCTTAATGCCCAATTGACTGATTCTACTGCACATTAGCATAGTTTTTGCTGTGTTGCACTAATGCGCAGTAGAACAGTCCAAAACGCATTAAGGCATCTCATGTAGATGCATCTAGTCTTATGAATCTGAAAGAACAATCACCTCATTGTTTCAAAAAGTTCTCAAAATGTAAATTGTATTATCTGTCCTTCTGAATCAGTCTCATTGCTATATCATTTTTTTTGGTCAGGGGCTTTGTCTGGTGGCAAGATATGTTCACAGGTATCAAACCATACCATCAGGTACCTTGAAGAGATCCAAGAGACTACCATCTCTCTTTGGAAATAATCTATACAAAAACTTCCATTTTCTTACTAACATAACAGCAAATTTCAGGTAGCGAGTTACAGGTTTTTATTTTGCATGTGTTTATTTGCCATAGTTTTAAGGCGAGCATGCACTCTTGGGGCCTTTCCAGTGACACTGGCTGCAGCTGTAGGGATCAGATTCAGACAAACAACTACATCACCCATAAATGCCCTTACAGCCCTCCTTTGGACACCCAAGGTCTTATTGACGTTGACCATTCTGCCTGTTGTTGGCTTTCTGGCCCTCATGCTTCTGACATATGAGTGTAGTGACACTCACTTCTTCATCATCATTTGCCATAGTACATTATAGTGACAACATTAGTTCCTACTAAGTATATGGACAGCTATAACAATGTACACACCCTTTGAAATGTTCCAAAAGTAGCTGAAGCACTCTAAAATAGTACCTCTTTAAATGAGGTGCTATTTTGGAGCATTTCACTTAGTTGCCTCAACACGGGAGAGACAGGGAGGGAGTGTGGGTGAACAGTCTGCCAGAAGGTGAAAGTCGGTTAAGATAATGTAGTTATGAATCCTTAACTGTAGAGTAAATGCAGTTAAATGTTAAGGAGTTCCTGATACACACGTCCTCAAATATGGATCTCATAATATGTTAATAGTCTTATAACTTTGGTGCAGAGGTAGAGAATGTGGGGGTTTGGAATCTGAGTACATGGGCATTGGGAGACTAGGGGAGAAAGTTTTGTGACAGTAGAAAGAAGATGTTGTAGGGGAACAGATAAATAGGAATGAATGTTAAATGGGTGATAGGGTGGATTAGGTTTAGGAGGAGGGGGGCTCTGGGAGGGTGGCATAAGATTGGTAGGATTAATGGGGGAGTTGCTTTTATCTAGATCTGGAATCTCTGAGACCTATTCACTGTTGCTGTTCTTTCTCCCCCACTCATGTGTGTTGGCAAATGGGAAGTCCTGGCTCTCTGGGATGGATGTTGAAAACACCAGACAAGTGCTGAAACAGGGAGGAGAGATCGTGAACAGGCATGGTCAATGCATGACACAGGATCATAGAGCTTATGTTGGGGAGGGAGAATGAGAATATCCATTGAGATGAGTGGAACAGCTGACATGTCTCAGAACATATGATTTCAGGCTATATTCATCATCTGTCAATGTTTTCTTTCAGCCTAGAGTCTGTCTGACATGAATAGGCCAGCCCACACTTGGTGTAGGGACTCGGTTTCCCCTTCCCTGCCCCTCCTTGCTTTAGTTGATGCATGTACTTTTTTATTTACCCTTTCCTATGGCCTAGAAGTGTAGCTGGGCATTTCCATACCAAGATTGAGGACCACTGGTTTACACTGAAACTTTTTCCACTTCCAGTGTTCTACCCAAGAGTTCTTCTTGATAGTCAGCACTCTGTCTCGTGTAGAGGCAGAAATTGAAGCACTGGTTCCAGCCATACGCTCCCATGTGAAAGCTCCCTTACTGCAGAATGCCCTGTTGGAAATCCCTGAACTGCTCCACCCAATGAAAAAATATTTAAAGATCCTTAATGAAGAAGCAGCCAAGTAAGTAAAAAAAAAAAAAGGCTTTCTTGCTTGTTAGTGTCTCGGACTGAATATTCCTCCTTGATGTAATACATTATATTACATTGGCAGATCTGTGTGTAGTTAAGATTTCCTCACAGTTTCCCTATAAAATTATCTTTTTAGTGTCTTATAATTTGGCTGAAATGCAGTCTAGAATTTTCACCAAAACCGTTCAGCTGTTTCTGATAATGTTAATTTGTCCATGTTAATTTTTACATCTTTGTTGAGAAGCTTCATGCTTTAGAATAGGGATTTGAAATTTCCAAATAGGTTGCCCTGATGCCAAAGTTGTCTTTTTACTATTACCCTGAAAATTTAATAAAGTTTGGCCATTTTAGGATTATAGGAAAGTAGGGCTGGAAGGTACCTTATGAGGTCATCCGGTATAGCCCCCTGCCTAAAGCAGGATCATCCCTGACTGAACCACCTCAGCAAAGTGTTTATCTAATCCGGTTTTGAAAATTTCACGGCTGAGATTACACAGCTTGTTTAGGTATCCTGTTCCACTGCTTGACCACCCTCATAGTCAGAAAGTTCCTCCTAAGCTCTAATGTAAATTTCCTCCGCTGCATCTTGAAGCCATTGCTCATACTTCTGTACCCTGTGGCCACAAAGGAAAAACCCATCTCCATCCGCTCTGTAATCCAGGGGTAGGCAAAATGCGGCCTGCGGGCTGGATGCGGCCCTCTAGGCTATTCTAGCTGGCCCACAGGGCCCCTAAAAATTTGGAAAATTAATATTTATCTGCCCCTGGCTGCCTGTCATGTGGCCCTCAATGGCTTGCCAAAACTCAGTAAACGGCCCTCCACCCAAAATAACTGCCCACCCCTGCTGTAATCCCTTCAGGTATTTGAAGATAGTCACCAAATCCGTCCTTAGTCTTCTCTCTGGACTAAATAACCTTAGTTCTTTCAACCTTTCCTCATAAGTCTAGCCTCCCAGCCCCTGCTCTGCACTGGACTATTTTCAAACTATCTACATCCTCCTTGAAGTATGAGGCCCCAACCTGGGTACTACTCCAGGTGAGGAAACCTCACCAGTGCCAAATAAAGCAGTAGTGTCACTTAAAAATCATTTTTCTTGATTTCCAAGTGACACTCCTGTTAATACATCCTAGTATGCTGCTGTTTTTGCAACCAGAGCACGCTGCTGGCTCATATTCAGTTTATGGTCTACTGTAACCCCCAGGGCTTTATCTATATTACTGCATTTTAGCCAGTCAATCCCCAGTTTGTATTTATGCATGCAGTTATTCCATCCCAAGTGTAGGACTTTGCATTTGTCCTTGTTGAATCTCATCTGATTGATTGTGGACCATTTCTCTAGTCTGTCCAGGCTGTTTTGGATCCCACCCCTACCCTCCAGAGTGTCTGCAACTCCAGCCAACTTGGTGTCTTGGTGGTCTGTGACGCCAGCCAACTTGGTGTCCACAAATTTCCTGTGCGCGCCCAATCCCATTGTGCATATCATTAATGATGATGTTACACAATACTGGACTCAGGACAGACTCCTGGAGTGCCCCATGTGATACTTCCTCCCAACTAGACATTGATCTATTGATGACTACTTCTTGAGCATGATAATCCAGCCAGTTATGTATCCATTTTATAATATTTTCATCTAGTCTGTATTTCCTTAGCTTATTAATGAGAATGTTGTGACACTGTCAACATCCTTGCTAAAGTCAGGGTATATATTCGTCCACTGCTCTCCCCCCGTGTCCGCAGAGCCTGTCACCTTTTTCATAGAAGGAAATCAGGTTGGTCCGTCATAACTGCTCTTGGTGAATCCATGCTGGCTATTCCTGATTACGTTGTTCTCCTCCAGGTGCTTCACAATAGATTTCTTAAGGGACCTGCTCCATAACCTTTCTAGGTTATTGAGCTCCTGACAGGCCTGTAATTTCATGGATCCTATATATTTGCTCTTTTCCAGTCATCAAGAACCTCACCCAACCTCTGCAAGTTCTTCAGAGCCAGAGGCTTTGAAATTACCTATATGGTTGTTCATACACTTCTTAGTATGTGTGTGTGTACTCCAGATAACCCCCACACCCTCTCCCAAAGGCTCCATGTGTTTATTAGCTCCCACTCATGACTGAAACTTGGGTGTTCTTGTCATGAGTCCTGGGATCCTCCAAAAATTGATATGCAGATGAGGCATAGGGCAGCCTGGTCTGGGTCCATCTCATGGAGGACAGGGCCACATTAATTATATGTGCCAGGCAGAGAGTGGGGGGGTGACAGAGGGATTCTGGATGAACTGTTTGGGGTCCTCTTTGGTGATATTTGCCAGACATTTAAGGCTGGCAAAGAAACGGGAATCATTTGAAAAGGGAAAGAAAAATACAGCTCAACAGTGGGAGTGAAGAGGAAGTCAAATTGTATGCAGTGTAACGGCTCACCATGGTACTTGAAAAAGAGTTGGTGCTGAAGGGGGCTGCACTCAGTGGGCACTACCATATACCTTAGTCAGATGGGTTGCATTAACATAGCCTTGTGATAGGCTCCCATGCACGTTTGCCCAATATGGGCCATCTACTTTATAGTCATGCTGAGTGTGGGCAGCATTTAATCAATGTCAGAGTTTGTTTCCATTACTGAGCACATGCTGCTGTTTGCAGCAGTTCAAAGATGGACAGTGTGTTTAATGCAGTCTTCTTGTAAGCAAATGTAGGATGAGGGACTTCTCCCCCTCCCCCCCATGCTGATGGGTGGGGGGAACCCTGCCTTGTATTTGAGTAAATACATCACATTTCACTAAATCATCTGTAACTAGATTGCTTTCTGGATTCCAAACAAGACTTATTCTCTGTTTTTCCTCTTTCTTTTGACATACTTGTAGAATCCCATTTCATTGCCTGATGCATCTCTTACTAGCTGCAACTCACTGTGCCTTGACTTTCCTAATTTTCTCCCTGCATGCCTGTGCAATACTCTTATATACTTCCATAGTGATATAACTAAGCTTCCACTTCCTGTAGGATTCCTTTTTTGGTGCAGGCAGAAGTTTGTCACACAATTGCCCCCTTGAAAGCGTTCTGCTTCTTGAAGTACTAGGTATAGGGTCTCCTTAAATTACAGCTCTTTGGGACTCCTTTTCCTCTCAGACTTACTAGGGAATCCTGCCCACCAGTTCCCTGAGTTTGCTAAAGTCTGCTTTCCTGAAGTCCACTGTCTTTATTCTGCTGGTCTCCTTCCTTACTTTAGGGTTTTGAATTCTACCATTTTAGTGGTTGCTGTCATCCAAGTTTCACCACCTCACATTCTCAACCAGTTCCTTCCTTTTGTGAGCAGTAAGTCAAGAAGAGCTTCCTCTTATTTGGCCTCTCTGCCATCTGTGTCAAAAAGTTCAAATACTTCTGTATTTCTGTCTTAACTGATGTCCTGATAATTAAACTCTAGTGAACCAGGTCCTGTGATCTGGAAACTTCCACCAATTTTCTAAGGAAGGCCTGATCCACTTCCTCCTCCTGGTTTGATGGCATATAGCAGGCACCTACCATGACATGCCCCTACTACTTTTTTCCCTCTGACCTTTACCCAGAGGCTTGCAACAAGCCTACTTTCCACTTCATACTGCAGCTCAAAACACACGTACATCTCTTATATATGAGGCAACACCTCCTCCTTTCCCCACCCCCAGCTATTCTTTCTGAACAAGTTATACCCATCCATGAAAGAACTGCAGTCATGTCAACTATCCAAAATCTCTGTAACCTCATAAACCTTATAAGCCTTTGAAAAATCTCAGTTTGTGAATGCTCAGTAGGGACTCATTGGAGTTTGGAGCTATATTCTCTGAAGATCCCATCTGTGCTGAGCAGGTTGTATAGTCTCACAACTTCTATGTAATGACTGGATTGTTATACATCATCCCTATAGAGCAGTTGAGCTTGCAAGGAGTTAAGGAGGATTTGTCTCTGAAGTTTTTCCTATCAGACACAAATACTGCAATCAGAGAAGATCTTTCTCCTGTTGTCTCTATATCCCTCCCTTCTGGCTCCAGCATGGAGAAGGGAGGCAGATGCTAGAAGACTGTCTCCTTACATCTTCTGTTCTTCAGAATCAGTGCAGGGCAGGAGGGAGCAAGGCCAGGAGCTCATGAGGGAAGAGTCTTAGGAGCCTGGGAGTGACAGTGTTTAGGAACATGATCTATGCAGCAGTAACAGGGGCAAGATCAAAGGCAGCAGATGTCTAAAACATTTTATGAAATCATATAATCATTAAAGACTTTCTCACAGGCTTTTGTCTACATAGTAAAGTGATCTTGCCGAGCCAGAGCACCCAAAAGCACTCCATGCTACCTCCTAAACTGGAAGTGACATTGCATCTGCATGGCATGGTAGCTGGGGGCAAATTAGCTTAGGGGCAGGCTGACAGTTTATCTTTGCAGTGCTCCTTCAGACAAACACAAATGGGATGATTCAGCTTCTGGGCTAGGAGGCAGCTGATGCAGAGCAATATAGCATACCCATGTGGCTATAATGTTAGGGGCACAAGGAGGTCAATTACAGTTGCAGGTTCCTTTGCTTTTTGATTCTTGACTTTGCAGCCTTAATAATGTCCAGCTTTAGTTTAGTGTTGAACATATGACCATGCTATAAGTAGGAGGCTAGTTAAGCATTGGAACATTACTTAAAGAGGTTGTGGAATCTCCACTCTTGACAATTTTTAGGCTGGTTGCTGGTTAGGCAAACACTTGATTGGAAAGATTTAAATAGGGGTGATCCTGCCTTGAATAGAAGGGTTGGCTTGGATGACCTCTGGAGGTCCCTTCCAGCCCTGTTTTTCTATGATTCTGTATATATTAAATAGACCAGTGGTTTTCACCCTTTTAGACTGAAGATAACCCTTCAATTAGATTCAAGGCATCCCTCTGAAAATGTTAGCTTTCACTCAGTTTTTAACTACAGAAAAATAATAGAGCAGATCTTCAGTGGTAAAGAATTTAGAAAGACCACAACAGGGCAGAACATTTTTGAACCTACAGCTTCCTATTTGAAATCTTTACATTTTATATTATGACTCATTTGTAGGTGTTTGCTAATTTTGCCTAGCACCCCACAGCACCCTTAAAAGGATCTAACAGTGCCCTGATTCAGAATTACTGAACATATAACTGGGTGTCTTCCAGGCTGTGTATCTGGCTCCTTACAAAATTTACTGTGTGGTCTTGGCCAAATTTTACATAAACTTTAGTAGTATTTCCTTAGTAGTAAAATATGGATGATTCTGCCAACCTTACTTAATTTGTTTTGAGGTGCTTTGCAAATGTCGTAAAAGTATACAGCACACTTCACTTGTATGCATACTAGAGAAGTGCATAGTTCTCTTAACCACATTAGATTATGCCCATCTCAAATTGTAAAAAAAAAAAAACCCTCTGGTTATCTGTATATTGGTTTAGTGCTTTTACCACTATGCCTAGGTAAAGGCATTCTAAAAGCCTGATGGGGAATCGATCTAAGTTATATGGTTATCTGTAAACCATGTCGTTTAGATCAGTAGTGAACAGAACACAAGTTTACCCTTTGGCGGGGGAAGGTGGGGGACAAATCTTAGATTGGGTTTTGCCATTTTCAATCTGTGTGCCATACTCTGTTCTGTTACAGGTATAGACTGGTTTCTGCCCACTTACATTGGTAAAAATGCAATGTCTGTATCTAACCTTTATGTACATAGTGCATTTCAACCCTACTGTCTACCTAGTAACGTAACTGTACTCTTTTTAATATTGTCAGAAACAGCGAAGGTTGAAGAATGGCTATTAGAAGTAGAGGTGCACCAATATATCAGTGCCATATCAGATTGACATCAATTAAAGTAAAATTAACGTTATTGGCTATCGGGTTTTTTTGGCTGGTATAACCGATAATGTCACCAATAAATATAATATGCCTTCTGGCCAGGGCCCCTGGACACTGCAGCATGCATGTGGCCAGGAATGCAGCTGGGCAGGTTGGAGAGTAGTGCCCTGCAGGTAAGTCTGAGGAGGAAAGGCGGCATGGGGGAGGGAAGGGACATGTGCAGGGGCAGATTGAGACCTCCCATGGTGAGGGAGGGAGTGGGGCTGAGGGTGCTGGCTAGCCAGGGCAGTGAATGGGACCTGGGGCCAGGGTAAGGAGCAGGACAGAGCTGCAGATGGCTCATTCAAGGGGGGAGGGGGGCAGCTCCCTGCTTCTGCGCACACCCCCAGGGAAGGAATGGAGGGGGCATGTGCCTTCCCCCCCCCCCCCCCCGCGCTGGGCTGGGGGCTGAGGCAGGCTGCCCACTGTGGGCTCGGGGCTTTCTACCCTGCTGCCTTTGCCCCGGGAGCTACACGGGATGTGCGGCCAGTATGTGGCTCCTCGGGGAAAGGCAGCAGGGTGGAGAGCCTCGAGTCCACAGTGGGCAGCTTGCCTCCACCCGTGCCCTGCTTGGTTCTGCATCCCTGCACTTACAGATGGTGGCGACAGCACTTGAACTAAGGCTCATTTGACAAGCTTTAGTTCAAACACCCCAGCTGCCTTTTTTAAGTGCTGGGATGCTGATCCCCTGGATGAACCACCTGTGGCTCTGTCCTGCTCCCTGCCCTGGCCCTGGGTCTCATTCACTGCCTTGGCTGGCAGCACGCCTTGCCTCTGCCCCACTCCCTCCCTCACCATTACGACTTCTATTGCCCCCACCCTCCACCAGTGCCCCTTCCTTTCCACAGATTTACCCTCAGGGAGCTGCTCTCTACTCTGTCTGGCTGTGCACCTATAAAGAGGTATCGGCTGATATGCCTAGTGAATAATCGTCTATCAGTATCTACCAAGAAGCTCTTTATTGGTGCACCCGTGAATCAGTTTCAGAGCTGCTAGTACTGTTGTAACCAATGCTGCCTAAGTAGAGCCCTATCACTGTTGTATTGGTAGGAGGTTCAAAACTGACTAGCTCTCCTCATGTTCGAGGCACTGTTGGAACTGCTTTTAGAGGTTTTGAAAATTAGGAGTTCTAGTAAATTCTGAGTCTGTTAGTATCACAGTGCTGGGCACTTAAGGGGCACTGATCATTTGCACTATGTTCTGATAAGTATTTTTTTCAGTTCTGGGGCTATACGCTTAAATGAGTACACCATATATATTTATTTGTTGTATATTTATATCATATTTGTATTACATTTGTATCACATCTGTTAATTATAGAATAAGTCTCTTTGTTCAGAGAGATTATAAATAAAGTAAAATAACTTTTCTGTAAATAAAATCTTTTCATCTTATCAGGAATTAAGAAATGTACTAGTACGAGACATGGGACTATCAATATCTGCTGTTGCAATGGATAAAAATATTTTCCATGTCTCATTGGACAACTAATATGCATATTTATGTAATTGGAAATCAGGACTCATTTCAATGTTGTCTGCATAAATACAGGCTTCTGTGGATACGTTGGCAATCCTGGCAGGTTATGAAACATCAGACTTAATGATTCCTGATTGATGGAAAGGCTAGTGTAGTTAGAAATTTTAAAAATTAGTTCTTATTTTTTTGTCACTGTGTCCATGGTGCCTTAGACAACTTGATATTGTAGGTGGAGAGAAGCAAAAAGTGTCATCGATAAAATATTAAGTGTAAAATTTGAAATTCTGTAAAATAGAGTATAAACAGATAGTACTTGCATGCACCAGAGTGCAACATTTTTGTTATGCACTTAAAAGTTCTGTACCAATTTCATATATACATCAATAAAATCCCTTTCACAGTTCACCATGTATATGTACATGTGTATATGTGTATATACATATAAACATTGGGGTGTGGGTGTTGTTTTTATTATGCTGTGTATATGTACATTTACAAAATCCCATTAAAAAGTAATGCAAAATACAGAACTCTGGAAAGTCTAATATATCTGCAGCTGGCTTTTTGGCTTTTTTTTTCGGAAACTGGTACTTTTAGATTTCAGTAGGCAGCTAGCGCATGGCAGTGACAGTTTTCACACTCGGTGGCTGGCTAGCAGCTGTCTTTTTCTTCTCATTCCCATGGAAGCAGATCTAATCAGCACAAAAATTGTTTCTAAAAATTAGTATTGTATTTTAAAATGCTGACTTTACTTTATCTTATATAATATGCATATGTAATTGGGAATCAGAGCTCATTTCAATGTTATCTGCATGACTGCTGGCTCTAGTTCTAGTTTCATTTTCATGGAAAAGGATGTTGGATTGATACAACAGATTTTTTTAAGCTACTTTAACTTTTATCATTTATAAACAGCCTTGGGCTTTTTCTCTTCAGATATCAAATTTCACAGCCATGACATAATCACATAATCTAAAATATAGATAGGATCCAATCTGGGGATGAATAGGGTTTCCTTGTAATTGTAGCTGTTGAGGTAAGGTAATGAAGCAAAAAGGGATGGAGTTCATCTCCCCTGTGCTCCCAAAGCCTGCCCTGCTAGGCCCAAGCTGAGTAAAGGAGGCATTTTGATTCCATAATAGTCATCCTGGTGACTGTTTGTATGCATGTTATAGTATAAACGTCTAACCAATTTACAAGACCTGTATGGTTGTCTTTCTGATGTATGAACAACCAAATAGAAAAGTTAAGTTAATGTCTTGCTATATTATAAATGGAGAAAGACAGGGGTCTGTGTTAAATAAAAACAATTCTAAACTTGTATCAAAACTTTACAATTATGGGATAAACATCTTTCTCTCTCTCTCTCTCTCTCTCTCTCTCTCTTTTTATACTATAACTAGAACTGGAGATAAAACCCAATTGTTCAAGGACCTTACAGACTTTCCTACCATCAGGAAGAGAAAGGAGGAGATCCAGGATGTACTGTCCCAGATCCAGTTACATCTGCAAGAAATACGTAGATTAATAAAGAATGCTTCTGCAGATTATGTTACAGTATCAGGACAGGAGGTAAAATATATATCACCTGGATGTTTCTTTTGTGGATGAGTGTACATTAAATTAATGCACATTTAATTAATATAAGATTGAGTAATCTATAGCATTAAATAGATATAGTTCTAGTTGAGAGAAGAGTGCAGCTGGTACACAGTTTTGTCATGTTGTATTTTTTGAATAGCATTACTCAAGTATCACCACTTTTTGTTTTATTGACTATGAATATTCATCTTCTGTCCCTGCAGTTACTTTTGGGATTTTCAGGGGTGGGTGGAAATTACTTTTAGTGCTTTTTAGTTTGTTTCAACAATACTTTTCTTCCATTTGCTATATTTTTACATGTATAAGCCTATTATGTGGTTGCATTAAGAATCCTCGTCTTAAGAATGTTTCTGATTGCTATATTTTTAGTGAATCAGGAAATGCAGCACTGAGATTTGTACAGAAAAGGACAGTAATATTTGAAGAACTGATTGAAACTTATATGGCCCTCTCGTCTCCCATCCTGTGGTGGTGCACCTAGGTGCATGTGCTTGTATTCAGTGCACCAGGAACCCACTATGATAGGTGATAAACAGATGTTCTACAAGTGTAAAATAAAAAGGTGTCTCTGCACTAGAGAGTTTACAGTCTAACACAAGAGACAGCAGATAGACATGGACAGACTATCAGGGTGTACAAACAGACAAAGAGACAATATTGTTCATTGGGCCTAGACAGTGTTATCAGTTTTCAGGTTGTCTTAGCATTGTCAACTGTTTTGTAAGCATCGTGCTAAAGAGTGTAAAGAGGTATGCAAAGGAGGATAAGTAAGCAGCTTTGTGGGAGCCCCTTCCAAGTATGAGGGATAGTATGGAAGAACTCACAACTTTGAAAATTTAACAAATGGGTATTAGCAACTGATATGATAGACTCATCAGAGCAGGGGAGCAAGGCTGTATTATAGCCAAATTCAGTTTGAACTGATGCCTAGTTATACATATGAAGGAAAGAGACACTGGGTAAGATCTGAGCTTGTACAGGAGACAGGTTTGCAGTAACAAGATAGATTTTTGAGTTATCAGGTTGGAGGTGGGAGTTGAATTTATGTTTTTGGGTGAGATTAATGCTAAAATGGAGAGAGAAGAGAGAAAAGAGATCAGTTATAGAACTCTGTGAATCCCTGTCAAAAGTTGAAGTAGAAAGGATGAGGTGGGTCTTCTGAAAGATGCTGAGCGAGTGATTAGAAGTAAGAAAAGAACAAGGATAGAACAGAGTTGTATTGAGCCAAGAAAAGACAAGATTTCAAGAGGAGGAATATGGCTAACTGCTGAAGGCAGCTTGGCAGAACAGGGAGGATGCTGAGCCTTGGTTAGGGAACAGTCTTTCTAGACTGAGTGCAATTTTAGTGGAGAATGAGAGTTAGAAACAGGATCAGAGACTGTCTAGGATGACAGGAGAAGATGCATCTCACACCAAAATGTAAATTGTGTTAATGTAAGTAGAGAAGAAAAAGTGAAGGTCATGGGGCAATAGTTGGAGTGAATAGTGTCAAATTCAGAAGAGGATGAGGCAAGCACATGCTTATATTGATACAGGAAAAGCCAACGAGGCATGAGAGATTAAGAAAAAGAGTAAAGGAGGAGTAGAGTCAGTGGAAGGAAGAGAAGAGAGGTTTAAGAGCAGACAGGAATCACCAACGTCAATGGACTGGAAGTCATGGAAAAGCCAAATTGACCCAGTGTGAAGAGTGGGCTGATAGGTAGTGCTGAAAGGTGATGATCAGGAATAGGGATTGAAGGAAGAGTAATGTTTGATGACAAAGTTTTCTAGTGGTGAAAGTTTTGAGTGTAATGAGGAAATAAAGATGTGGAAATATGCAGCCGAGGGGGTTGGAAAAATTGTCAACATGAAAGTTGAAGTTGTGGAGTATGTGTGTAGAAGAACAACTGAAGATCAAAGAAAATAAACAGGGAAGCAGGGCAGATGAGTGACTTCAACAGGAGAGAAGAAGGTAGGTAGTGTAAGAGGAGAGGCTAGTGTAGGAAAGGGCAGATGCAAAGGCAGTGTCAGAGGATCTAGTATTGTACAGGAGTTGAAGGGAGCAAGATTTGAAGAGGTGGTGTTTAGGTTGTGACCTTGTTGACAGGGAGCTGGGCATTCCAGAGACAGCAACACAAGGTATGGTGAGATAAGGGTGTTGTGAATCAGAGCAGCCGCTGGCAGCTGCTTGACTCACACACCGGAGTGTTTAGATTTAGAGCTCGGCAGGAGGGTAGTGATGGATGGAGTGGAATTAACCAGGCACAGACGCGTGTAGGTTACAGGAGTTTGTTTACTTACGTCGCCTAGATAGTGATGGACGACGCAGGCGAGCCTTTGTTCCGTTACAGCTTCGGTTACAGAGTCGAGTATACGCATATAACTTCGGTTACAGAGTCGAGTACACGCACGCAGTTAGGTTACGACGAGATAATGATGGACGTGGCGCCGAAAACGGACGGTCGCGCTTGCAAGACTTTCTACGTCAATATTTTACGCTGACGGGGTGATCGATTGGGAATTGATCAATTTCCCAATTCTCTGGTGACAAGCACAGGTGTTTCCTGTGAGATCCCCAGAGCTCTCCGCCTTGGGCGGAAACCGTTAAACTATTTATAGGCAGAGGTGTTTTACAGGAATATCCAATGGTGAACCGTTATATGGAATCTTTAATTTTTGGCAGGTGGCAGCTCTTTGTCTCCTCAAGTTACAAGGTAGTGGGTTAGGTTTCTCTACCTGTTACGTGTGTGCTACGTGTGAGGAGCTTACGCTTATTTTTGGACCAATTATATATAGTTTCCCCTAGCATTTTATTTCAGCTGTCCAATTATCTGTAGTACACCACCAGCGTTTTGTTTCAAGGAATTTCTTGGCAGGGAAGTCTTTTAACCCTTAATCGTCAAAATGAGGATGATTTGAATGGTATCTCTTGCTCAGTGGCATGGGCACAATTTAATTGGGTTGTGACAAAGGGAACAGAGAATGGCCACTTGGTTAGGAATATCAGTATGAAAGAGTGCAGGTTATTATGGAGATGGGTACAGCAGATGGAAAAAATAAGGAAGGCTAGTGCTGAAGCAAATGACTTGAAGAAATCATGTGAACCTGGCATCTTGATTTAGGCTGGTAGGTGGAAAGAACAGATTGAAATTAACTGATATGAGCAGACAATGGGCAAGGGTAACAAAGATGATGGGGCTATGGAGCTGGTGGTTGGGGAGGAGAGAACAGTGTGATGTACAGAGAGGCATGTGGTGGACTAACTTTAAAAGGCATAATTGGAAAAATGCTGTGAACAAATCTTTTCAGGTCACATTGTGAAGGAGCTAGCATGCATTGGTTCATTGGCCCACTCAGCAAGGCAGGAGTGGGGGAGGGAAGGGTGACTGGGGAGGGGAAGGGGGGCAGAGAAAACAGCTGCCTTCCTCATAAGCAGGGATCCTGGTTTTCTCCGATTAAAAAAAATCACAAATTTTCTGATGAAAAATTGCAAATTCTCCGACAAAACCCCCCAAATCCATTATTAAAATTAAAAACCCCCTTCAGCACCTCCCCACCCTGCTGGTGC